TGACTGCAGCGCCGGCACGGGGGTGGCTGCACAGCTGTGGCAGCTGAACATCCCCGCGCTGGACCCGAGCTGCTTCAGTGCCGCTTGTGTCCGTGCTTGTGGGCCTGAGTCTGGCAGTCGGGCGTGTCTTGTAGCACATCGTCCCGTGTTTCCCTTCCCTCGTCAGCGGATCTGGAGTTCAAATACAGCGACAAACCAGCACGTCCCTGCTTCCTGCGGTGCTCAGTCTGAACGTCAGTCCCAGCCTGCGGGCCGTGGCCGAGCGCCGTTTCTTGGCAGATGTTATTGGACAGTTCAGCACTTTCCAAGAAGCTGCATTTAACCGAGGTCGGTAGAGGCTGAGCCTCGTGCGTGTGCAATGTCTGAGCCCTGGAGGGCAGTGTTTCTGCTTGCTCCACCAGGGAGTTGTGTGTGAAAGCAAAGGCGACCAGACGGTGCCTCAATTTACCCGGGTTAATCCCTTGAGCTCAGTGGCATGCCGAGGTTGTTACATGAGGGCCGAACACGGCTCAGTATATATCCGTGGTTCAGTCGTATGAACCTGAACCAGGTTCTGAGCAGCTGAGTAACTGGCATTTTCTCCCTTGTTCTGCCTCCAAATTCCCATTCCAGGGACAAGTCTGACCTAAAACTCGACCTGCCTTACAACTCCAATTGGCCCGCGCACCCAGCTGAAGGGCCTGGGGCTGCCCTGCTGAAAAGAGGGATGTGAGTGGAGATTGTGGCTCATTCTCCTAAATAAAACTGGGCTTGACCGTGCCCACCCCCAGCCCAGTGTTAGCCTTCGTCAGCTGGCTTCTAGCGTGGCTCTTCTCCTGATCCCAGCTCTGCCGCTGGAGGATGGGATCGATGTGGGGTGACGTGGGGGCTGGCGGGGATAACGTCGGGCTTTGCGACCACAGCGTACATCCCCTGTCACGTCAGGCAGGGAAGAAATTTGCTCTTTGCAGTTTGGCCTTGAGGTTTCCCTGTTGGGCTGCGTTTTGCAAATTCACAAAGAGCACGACCCCCGAGCCTGCCACCTGAAATCCTCCCCGAGAACTCCAGAAGCAAAACCACTTGATTTTACCCAGGAAATCGACTAACTCTCATGGGTTTTATTGACAGTTTAGCAGCTTCCACATGCGTCTTAGCACTGTACCCTGTCTAGCCTGGCAGTAACAGAGGAAAATCAGATGCTCCTTGTTTTACAGGGAGTTTGCAAAACTCTAATCATCTTGAGCAGACTTGTAGGACAGAAAAAGTGCCCAACAGGTCAATAACACGTTGCAGACAATGGTAATTGTCCATGGAATAACTCCTGCAAAGGGACAGCTGTAGGAGACGCGGCCTGCACCTCTCAGGTGACGTTGTGCAGATGTGTTGTCATGACAACCCTGAATCTTGTACCGAAATTCGGAAGTCGCCAGCTTTGGGGTCTAGCCCTCTTGGCTGTGCTCGTAGCTTGGGTTGACGTAGACTTCAGTCTTGCTGCTTTGTGCCACGTCTTTTCTGTTCAAAGGAGGCCACGTTGGATCCCTCTCCAGCGCCCTCTGCCACTTGCGATACTGGCTCTGAGACCGGAACCGGAAGCATTTCTTAATCAGCTGCCAGAGGCGCCGGTTCTGCAGGACGACGTCCTGTGCAGGGAGATGGATCTGGTCAGGCGGGTCCCTGTTGCTGCTCTGGTGCGAGTGGCGCAGTCCTACCCCCGCCAGGCCCCTCCCCCCCCAGCAGCAGCATCTTGCCCTCGTGGACACACGGAATTATTGCCTAGCTGGGCCTGACCCAGAACTCTCCCAGGCTGTGAGCTAGGCGGGGTCAGGCCCTTACTGACCTGTTCTATGGGGATTACAACGCACGCACCTTTGCAACGCGGCATTAATCTCCGGGGGACTGACAGCGTCCACAGGCACCAGACTGGGGGGGCTCCAGGCCTCAGAAGGGGTGGGGCCTCCGGTGGAAGGGGTGGGGCCAGGGGCAGCCCTTAGAGCTGCCTGGACCATGGTGCTGCCCCCCCGCCTCCCTCCAGCCCTCAGAATGTGCACTCCTGCAAAGGGACAGGTGGCTGCGGGTTCAGGGCTGGGCCTGCAGACATCGCTCGCGGGCTGGCGTGGCTTTCGCTGCTCCCGCCTCAGGGCCACTTAACCAGAGCAGCCCTGGTGGGGTTTGTCCAGCCTGTGGCTAAACGCCCCAGTCCTGGGGGCTCCGCAGCCTCCCTGGGAAGCGGTTCCAGGGCTTCGTAAGGCTCCGCTCCCCCTTGTGGCGTACTCGGCCTGTTTCTTCTCGTCCTGGCTCCCGCGGGCACGGGGACCAGCTGCTCTGTCCCTCTGTAATGGCCCCCTCGCACTGGAGGGCTCTCAGCGGGCCCCACGCCTCCCTTCCGCTTTTCTGAGGACTAGGCAGGCCTGGTTTCTTGCCCTGGGCCTCAGAGGCAAACCGGCCGCCAGCCTGGGCTGCTCCCGCCACTCGCTTGTTCCAGGAGCCGTGCGCACACGCCTGTCCTGGGTGCAGGTCAGCCCCACCACCCCACCTGGCACTTCACGGCACGACGGGAACCCTGGCACCCACCAGCCTCGAGTGCGCCTGCTGCAGCCCCTGTCCCGGGCTCCTCCGAGGAGCTCGGCTGCCTTGGAGTGCGTCATTTCCTCGCCGATAGCCTGCCCCTCCCTGCCCGAGCCTTCTTCCGGCCTCCTCCGTCCTGCCCATGCCCTGCGCCTGCCTCGCGACTGACTCCTCCGCAGCGCTGACCCTCGGGCTGCCTCCCGTTTGTGTGCAGGCCTGCCTGGGCTTGTCCACGGACCCTGGCCCGCGGCCCATCCCCAGGCACCAGTCAGCGCTGCTCCCGCCTCTCTCCACTCGCTCCCCTCTGGCCCCTACTGCGGCTCTCGGTCGCCACGGCTGGGACCCATTTGCTCCCATTTGTCCACGTCTTGCTCTGGCGCCCAGACCTGCATCCAGGACTCCAGCAGGGCCTCCCCAGTGCCTCCTGGGCCGCGCCTAGGCCTCTCCTGGCCTCAGGGGATGCTCTCCTCCTTTCCAGTGGGTGCCCCACCCCTGCTCTGCCCTGATGCCCTGCCCTCGCTCCGCCCCATCGCCAGTCTTGCTCTGCCTCTTCCCTCCCCTGAGGCCCCACCTTTGCCCCAGCCCTCCCCTGTACGTGCTCCCCCTCGTTGGTGGACCATGGCCCTGTTGGCACATAGCCCCTGTTCCCTGAGACCCGCAGCTCCTGGGCAGCCCTCCTGCCCCCCCGCCAGCCCTTCCCCACCCTGTATGCCAAAGGGAAGAACCAGCACTTCCACTGGGCTTTCCGATCTTAAGTGAACTGGTCAATAGAAGCACCCACCTCCACAAAGAACGACACACAAAACGTGACCACGAGCATGAGGAAGATGGAAACCCTCCAGAGGGTCGGAGTGCAGAGAAGCTGTTGGGGAAGAAACACGAGTCACTTGAGTTTCGAACGTGGTTTAATATTCTCCTGGATTCCTCACAACCTGTGAGACCAGCTGGTTTGATGTTCCACAAACCAGCACTGTATTAAAGAGATCTTAGTGCCAGCCTGGGTCCCGCTGCTTTCCTAGGGTGCAGTGACTTCAGTGATCTCAAGCAGCTGCTTGCAATGAATTGAGTGTCAAACAGGGCAAGATGGGTCCACCTCCTTTTTGGGGCACAAGGGTTTTATGCAAAAAGAAAACGTCCACGCTGCTTGTTCTTGCGCAAAAAGCCTCGCACAAAAACGGATCAGCAGAAAATATGCAAATGACATCGCGTCTCACCGAATGTTTTCCCGGGAAAACGCGTAGTGTAGACGTAGCCTCAGTCGGTAAATCTTAGAATCATGGAACTCCAGGGCGGGCAGAGACCTCAGGAGCCATCGAGTCCAGCCCCTGCCCAAAGCAGGACCAACCCAACTCAATCAGCCCAGCAGAGAGCAAGAGAGGGATAAGTATTTTTAGAAAATCAGACCCATGAGGATAGATTTAAAAACCGGCCCTGGTTAGTCGTGAGAAAAGCGGACGGGGAGGGGACCTGAGGAGACTTCAGATGTCTTAGGGGCTGTTTTAGAGGGCAATGCTCAGTGGTTCTCCACCTCTGCTGAAGGTAGGAGAAGCAGCAACGGGCTGAATCTGCAGCTGGGGAGATTTCGGCTCAATCTTAGGAGAAGGTTTCTAACTCCAGGAGCAGTGAAACTGCACGAGGCTTCCAAGGGAGGTTGAGAACTGCCCTTCCCTGGAGATTTTGGACAACAGGCTGGGCAAACACCTCCCAGGACTGGTCTAGATTTACTTGGCCTGCTCCAGACAAGGGGACCCTTCCAGCCCTACATTTCTGTGATCAGTGAAAATGGTGGGAGGGTGAAAAGCACGTGCAACTCCAGTTCCACTCACCTCCATTCCCTTGTACACAGCAGTGATGTCCGCGAAGAGGAGGAACAGGCACACTCCCAGCTGGATGAGCAGCAGGACTGAGAACAGATCTGGTGAACAAGAGCACCGTGTCACAGGGACGTGGTTTGGTGACCAGCCCCAGCGACAGGACTGGGTGATGATTTGTAAAGGGCTGGCTGGCAGCTCCTGGGGTGCTGCAGAACTGCTGCGCAGCACATCTCATAGTGTAGCAAAGCTCCCGAATTCTAAGCAGACATGGCCATAGCTTCCACGTGGCTGATGTAGCTTGCCCATGCCCTGCAGGAATGAAAGCTGTGGCCATCCTCTGCCTGCCCACGTGCACGGAGCTGCTGGCTGCCGAGCAATTCCCAGTGGCCGGGTTTCCAGGCCGCACAAAATGCTGCACAAGTGGCAGTCTTGGCCGTTGCCTAGGTAAGGATGAATGGGCCACGATGAGGGAACTGCTCGGTGACCCCGAGGGGCAATCCCACCACATCAGGGCAGAGCACGTGTCCCGCACAGAGCCGGGTGCCTCACAGATCACAAGGAGGCCGTTTCACGGATGGAATTTCTGGCCGGGTTTCCAGGCCGCACAAAATGCTGCACAAGTGGCAGTCTTGGCCGTTGCCTAGGTAAGGATGAATGGGCCACGATGAGGGAACTGCTCGGTGACCCCGAGGGGCAATCCCACCACATCAGGGCAGAGCACGTGTCCCGCACAGAGCCGGGTGCCTCACAGATCACAAGGAGGCCGTTTCACGGATGGAATTTCAGCCAATAAATCTCCCGTTTCTGTTGTGCCCCTTCACACTTTAACAAACAGGCCTGGCAATAACCGCGGCGTTGCTCTCTAATCGCCCGCCTCCCAGAGACGGCCAGGGACTCCTTTCCTTGAGGGGAAAACCTGCACGTGGGGCTTTGGCTGAGCCTGGCGTGCAGCTGGTGAGATGGGAGCCGTCTCCTGTCAGTGACGGTTTGCTCTGCTGGCCTTGGGCTCAGGGCCAGAGAAGTCACAAGCAAAGCTCTACTCTTTGCCGACTAGTTGCCCCGTTATTTTAAGAGGCCGTGCCTGCAGAGCACGCGGCGGTGCAGTTATACTTACAGTTCGTATAGATGGGTTTCCTGAATGGCTTTCCCTTGGAAAAGACGAAGGCTACAATGATGCAGTTGATTGTAGTGAGTGGCCAGAGAGTGGTGTCTTCGTAGCTTAGAACGCTGCTGGAGACACCGGTGGCATTCGCGGTGCTCACAGAGGCCAGGGAGCCGTTTGCTGGAGGGCACTCTCTGGAAAAGAAGAACCGGTATTTCGGAAGCACTTGCTGATGCTCTCTCAGCGGCGACTGGCTAGAATAAAGCCGCTTCCTCTATCGTATCTTATCCACCCTGGTTTCTGCTGCGCCCGTCACCCGTGTCCGGGGGCCACTCGTCCCAACGAAAGCTCTGCTCCATGCTGCTCCAAAAAGGCCTCACCTCCCTGCCCCGCCTGGGTAACACCTCTGTTCTCAGGGCAGCCGGGCGCACGGGACACGCCTCCAGCAGGGCACTTTCCCAGAGCAGCCTCCCCAGTCATCAGCAAGTGGACGGACATTGAAGTCACAACCGTTTCCCCTCACAGCGGACGAGGAGGGAGAATCAAAGCCACAGTGGTCTGAGGCTCCCAGGGAAGCCGTCCCACCGCAGGATAGATGGAGAGCGATCGGGATTGGTTTGTTGGCAACGTGGGCTCCATTTATCCTTTTCCCTGGCGTCAGCACCAGCTTGTGTCGCTGTCGTGGCTGCTAACTGCTCTAACCCACATCTGGCTGAATGCGACACACTGCCCCTGCCGAGTGGTGCAGAGCGGAGCACGTCCACGGAAAACGGGAGGGACAGAGCGGAGGGAGAGCGTGGTGTCGGGACTTGGCAGACTGTGCGGTGCGCATGGGATGTGGAGTGTGACTAGCGCAGGATGGGGGAGTCCTGGCAGGGCCCCGGGTGCTGCAAGGCCGTCTTGGAGCCCAGCCGCGTGGCTTCGCAAGACGGACTGGAAAGGGGAACAGCGGTGTTACCTGTGGTGGGCCAGCTCCACGTACCACGGCTGCTGCTTCACAAAGAGGAAGCCGCAGATCTGCATGGTTGCCGTGATGCCCACGTGGAGCGTGACGGAGAGCAGCAAAGGAGGAGAGAGGAGCTGGCCTGGCGGTCGGTACGGGGCCAGCTTTGGGTAGGCGTGGGTCAGGCTCACTGGAAAAGAGAACACAAGCGTCTCCTCTCAGACACAGGGCAGCCCCCCTGGCTACTCCCCTGCTAGGCTGGGGGGTGACTGTGGTCCCTGCCTGACCCTCATCCCCACGGAAGCCCTTTGGCATTCACGGATCACTGGGAGCCCAGTATAATGGGATGCTACGGCCTGATTCTCCCTCCGCCTGGGAATGCCTCTGGCCCCCCCTCACTAGGTTAGCTGTGCCCCCTGCATAGCAAAGCAAAGCTCCCTTCTCCACTCCCATGTCCCGCCACACCCCCC